CCACAGTTTGTTGTGATCCACACAATCAAAGGCTTTTGCATAGTCAATGAAGCAGAAGTGAGCAAGACTTCCTGAGAGTGGCCCACCCCTGTCTCCCACCATATCTCCAATCACCATCTCTCCCCCAGGTGCAAGGATCCCATCTAACTCCCAGATGTAAACCAAACACTCCCAGTCCAGATAGCATATCAGAATCCTTAGCTCACACTCTCAGTGGTATTTCAGATCCAGAGAAACCCTCTGCCCTTCCCATCATAAATATCAAAACATCCACACCACACCCACTTCTGAACCTGCTCTCACCAGGACTAAATAGTATAAAAACCATACTGTCAACATCAACTATAGACTAGAATGACCTGAGAGGATACCACTGCCCACCCACCCCATTTCACACCCAGGGGAATGCCCCCCAACTCAGTCTAGTCCAATCTGAAAAAAAAATATCCTTCTAACCCCGGATCAAAAGTCTTTATCATCTCAATCTCCAATTTCTCTGATGTTGTTGATATACCAAACTGAAACAGGTTTGGAATATAAGGCAGCAGGATAAAATCAACAAGACTTCAGTCTGTTTCCGCTTTCTCCTTGGGCTTGCCCTGAACACTAGTCTATCAATTTTCAAAAACAAAATCTCCCATCTGACAGGTCTATGGGACCTAGGCAGGGTGCAGGATGATGTGGGAAGGAACCCTATTGATAGGCCTTTGGGCCTGCTCCTACTCCATCCTATAATCTCCCCCATCTGTCTGCTGGGATATCTGGGGCCACAGGAATATTGATTATCTAAAGGAAAGGCATTCCTGTGTCCAAACAAACAAGCAAACAACCCCAGCTGACTAGTCAGTGGAATACAGGAGCGGGTTGGAATGAAATGGGAGGAAATTTGACCATAAGGATACTCTTGCTCCACCCCACACTCTCCTCCACCTTACTGACCAGAATATTTTTGAACATGGGAATACTGATCTTTGGGGAAACTAGCATTCCATGTCAAACCCTCAACAGGCCTGTGCTTGCTTGGATAATGAAAGGTAACTAAACCCTTCATCTTGGGCACCTACTCAAAATCCTGCCAACCCCACCCCACCTCGCTGTATGGTGAGCAGGGAAGGGGAGGTAGATTTCCTGCTTACTAAGTGGGTAATGCTGGGTAGAGGGTGTAAAGAAGTCAAGGAATCCCCCAATCACTGCCTGAAACTGTCCTGCATTAAATCCATAAACCTGGCTATGGGGGTAATACCATTTATGTCAACATATTTTTCTACTGACTCAAGGATCTGAGGAATGCAAACTCTGGAGTGCTACAAGAGAGTACGCAGCCCCTGAGTTGCCCACCCTTGAGCTAGGAACTTACAGGATCACATTCCTGCAAGGTGCACCAACAGCTTGCATTTATTATGACAGTGAGGTTCAACGGATTGGAAGCAGTGGCAACCTTCTCAAGTAAGACAAGTGAGGAGTATTTCTTGCCATTCCAGATGCAGGAGTAAATCCTAGAACACCCCAGGGCTACAGATCTAAAATACCCCGACAAAGGGTTGAACTTTGTCAGCAATGTGTGTCTCTGCTTCAGCTAGCTCAGGAATTTTTTGACTGCCATGACTTTAAGTCATCACTGATTTCATCAATGCCAGCGACTACTTCTTGTTTGAGATTTAGTTATCTTCAGCACACAGCTTTTGGTTCCTGTTTTCCTTTCCTCTGCTTGACCAAAAAGCCTTTTGGTGGATGAAATTCTGTCCTGGGAAAATACTTCCTTGTTACCAAGGAAGTGGTCATTTCAGCTGCAAGACCAGTTTTGCAAACTGAGCATACAGAATGCCCCCAAACCATGAAGAATGTCCCCTTGATAAATGTAGCATTCCAGTAGAAAAAATGACTTGTCTAACCACAGCAAAGCATCCCAATTATACACCTTTGATTTAACAGAATGTCTTACAATCATGCAGCCATTCTGTACCACACAAACTGTTTGAAAATCTGAATTATGTCCCAGCTGAAGTAGCTGAAACAGAACTAGAGAACAAGACCAGGAATTTTAACTGGGAAACTGTCAGCATTTTAGACCAAGCAAAATCCAAAAATGCAAGGGAATTCTTGGAAGCTTGGTATTCAGACAA